TCTCTCCCTGAGACACCGTGTACCAAAGTCCTGCCCAACCTTCTCCAGGGGCTTGTCTGGCCCCAGGGTGTCTCTGAACCCTAGTTGTGGGGTTGTCACTCTTCACTGTCAGTCCTCAGGTAACACAGGAGGGGAGAGCTGAGCTCTGAGGGTCACCCAGCGGACACTGGCTGGACAAACCCATGGTGCCTTGCGGGGGTGTCTCAGGGAAGGTGTGTGGGATACCACCCCACGTTCCCACTTCCGTCTGCCCGCCCAAGGCTGTCCCTTCCCCACTGCCACCTTCCTTGCTCATCCTGCCTCACTCCCTGGAGCTCCGGCTGGGCTTCCTGTTCCCTCGGTTCCCAGGCAGTGCAGCTGGTGCTTGGGCTGGGGAGGGGGCGGCGGACGCAGCCGAGCCTGGAGGAGGGGAACTGTCTTGTTCCAAAGGCAAACACAGCCCCACTCCCCCCTCTCCAGCACTGCCCCCACGCTGGTGTCTCAGCAAGCATTGCTGCGCTGGTAGCTATGCACTGTGTGCTGGGCCTGGGGCCTCCAGGACCAGGGCAACAGGAACATGCGGGTCATTCCTTTCTGGGTGTTGCTGCTTCCGGGAACATGGTGGGGCACGGTGGGGCTTGGGGGGCTCAGATTCAGCCCATCCTGCATCTTGACTCTCACCAAGGCGCTGCAAATGACAACTGCATGCCACGCCTGGGGCGGGGGCGTGTTCAGGTGGGGCTCTGCACCCTGAGGACTGGGTGCTGTGCGAGTGGGTGCAAGCGGCTTCCTGGCAGGGGTCTTTGGGTGGCTGCTGGACGCCCACAGGGTTCCCTGCACAGTGAGTTGCTGGGTCTGAAGACCTGGGAGGTTCATGTGGACAGAGAGGAGGCATGCAGAAAGGGGGCCTGGCCAGAGGCTGGGGGCCAGGGCAGGGGTGGTATGATGAGTGCAGGTGGGTGGTCAGATTATGGTGAGGTGTGACCAGGGGGCAGGGGCAGGGCAGGGGGAGGTATGGCTGTGGTGCAGGTGGAGGGGTTGTGTCAGGGGGAGGTGTGAAGGCAGAGCCAGAGCTGGTCCATGTCCAAGCCCATGGCTGAGCAGAACGGTGGAATGAAGGAGCTGTGGGGGCCAGGGGAGGGGAGGGGTGTTGGCAGGGGAGAGGTTGGCACATGGAGGGGAGGGGTGCTTGCAGGGGAGGGGCTGGAACAGTGAGGGGAAGGGGTGTTGGCAGTGGAGGGGCTGGCACAGGGAGAGGAGGAGGTGCCGGCAGGGGAAGGGCTGGCACATGGAGGGAAGGGGTGCTGGCAGGGGAGGAGCTGGCACATGGAGGGGAGGGGGTGTTGGCAGTGGAGGGGCTGGCACAGGGAGAGGATGGGTCTGGGCTCCCTGCCCTGGGATTGTCCAGGAGGCCTAGTGTTGCCTGGAGGTTGCTCTGGCCCCAGGGTGGTGTTCCCTGCCCCTATTTGGAGGTTCCTTCCCTTGCCCCCCCCCCGAAAGGGGCCTGGGGAGCAAGTGTGACTGCAGGGTGGTCAGTCCCATGTGCCTCACATGGGGACATGTGGGTTCAGGCAGCAGAAGGGCTCCTTGAGTCACCCCCAAAGTGTGGGTGTCATCACTGGGCTGCCAGCAAGGCGGGCCCGGGTACTCCTTGCAGAATGGTCCACATGTCTGCCCCAACCATTCCCTCTGCAGCTGTGTCCAGCTGATGGTGACTGTGGACCCTGCCCAGGGGTATGAGACCCTCCAAGGGCTGAAATGTGCTCCAGTTCAGTCCAGGGACCTGCTGGGCTCCCAGGAGGGCCAACAGTAGGCGGTGGCCAGGAAGGCACAGAGGAAGTGCTGCCCTCGGCAGTGCATGGGGGAACTTGCAGGAGTCTGTGCTTGTCACCTGCCTCACCCTGGTGGTGAACTGGGCCTTGGAACTGGCTTGGGAAGCCTCCAGGACCTCCTGCTGGTCCCGGCCACACTGACACTACAGTCTGCAGGGGTGCGGGGGCACTGCTGAGCTCACTTTGCAGGAGGAGAACCTGGGCCTGGTGTCGAGCTGGACCAGGGCAGGGAGCAGTGACTGTGAGGAGGTGGGTGCTGGTTTCCTGTTGACCAAAGGGCTGAGTGGGACAGGCTGGCATGAGGGCACTACTCGGGGTCCTCTCGCTCTGGAGGGTCTGTACCATGTTACCTGAGGTCACCCTGGTGGGGCCCAGGAACCCTACTCCTCCCAGATGGTGGTAGGATCCTGAACAGGGATTCTGGGTCCACATGGTAGGCTGTGCAGGCCGTGGACCGAACTTCTGGGTAAAGGTATGCATCCCTGTGCCCCCACAATCCCCCTCAGGCCAGGCTGCTCTGCCCATAGTGCAGGCCCTGACCTTGGGTTGTTTGTGCCCAGAGGATAAGTGGGTACACTTTGAGCAAGGGGCAAGCTTGGGGGTGGGGCCTGCTGGGCGAGGTGTGGAGACCCATTTGTCCACCCATCGTCCTCAGGTCCTCGATCCGTGCAGGGGCAGAGAAGGCTCTGGCCAGAGGGCCTCCTATGAATCAGCTGAGAGCTGCCTGGGTGGGCACTGGGGACTGCAGTCTACCCTGTCCCAAGCTGCCCATTTCACAGTTGTGAAAGCTGAGGCCCGGTCAGAAAGAAAATGTGCTTCATCCCCTCACAGTTGCCTTTTGCTTGGAAAGCCACCTTGTTGGTTTACCGCCACATGCGGCAGCAGTGCCCACTTCACCGCATTTCTACCTGGGTCCTGGGGTCCACACTGTGGCTCAGGTCAAACAGCTCTGTGTAATGCCAGCATCCCATATGGTTCATGTACTGGCTGATCTACTTCCCATCCACATCCCTGCTCATGTGTCTGGGAAATCAGCCAAGGATGATGGGGGCTCCTGCACCCACGTGGAAGACCTGGATGGAGCTTCTGGCTCCTGGCTTCCACCTGGCACAGCCACAGCCCTGGTCGTTGCGGCCATCTCAGGAGTGAACCAGTAGAAGGAAGATCTTGTTCTCCCTCTCTTTGTAACTCTTTCAAATAAATACATTTTTTAAAAAACAGAGTTTAATTGTTCTGGCTTAGGGGTGCTTAAGACAGTGGGCGGGGCACCTGTTAGGCCAGGTTGGGAGGAAGCCAGCATCCATCCCCGGCAGCCATGGTCCTGGGGGTCTCCCTGAGTGGGCAGCCTCAGTGTCCGTCATGCTGGGCTTTCTAACCCGACCCGGGAAAGGCCTCTCTGGTGGTAGGGAGGCTCCCAATGGGCAAGGACGCTGGGCACTGGCCGGGGGCCAGGGGAGCTGGAGTGGGAGGCCGCGCGGCCCCGCTCTCGGTCCCCTCCTGTCGGCGGGAGGGCCAAGTGCCAGTCCGGGGACGAGGCGGCGACGGCGACGGTGGAGTCTCGGGGCGAGCCGGGAGGCTGCCTTTTATAGGCATGCCCTCCCCTTTGTTCCTCCCTGCGCCTTCTCGGCCAAGTTCGCGCCCGCGGCAGGGCACCGGGGACGCCGGGCCGAGCCCGGCCCCGCCCCGCCCGGCAGTGGTGGGACCTGCGTGGGAATGCGGGCGGGGGTCGCTGGGCGCCGCTCCCGCCTGCAGCGAAGGCCGCGCGAGCTCCCACCCGCTTCTCCTCGCGCCCGCCGCGGCGCTGGGGTCTCCGCGGCCAACGGCTCACGCTTGGCGTCTTTACATTTTATTAAAAACACACAAATCCGCGGCGAGGCAGAGCCCGGGTCCCCTCCCCGACAGGGTCGCGGCTCGCGTCGAGCTGCACCTGCTCCGCGCCCCCGCCGGCAAGGGCGCCGCCAGCCCGGGGAGCGGGAGGTCCCGGAGACCGCGGCCAGCTCCGCGCGCCCGGGAGGCCGGCTCTGCCGGTGCCGGCGCGGCGCTCGCCCAAAATGCCCCTTGCATCTCAATTTCCCGGCCGCCGCTCGGGCACGCACGCTGCCCGCGCCACCGCCCGCGCGCCCGGGGCCGAGCCCAAAGCCCCCTCCCGGGCGAGTCCTGCCCCGAGCCCCACCCCCTTTCCCTGCCAGGCCGGGTCCCACGGAGCACCCCCAGCCGCCGGTTCGCTCAGCCCCAGGCCCCCGCGGCCTCGGCCACGCTCGCCCCACTTCCTCCCGCGGTCCGGATTGCAGCAGAGCCCGGCAGCGCCAGGGCCAGAAAGTGGGAAGGAGGGCGCCCCCCGGGGAGCGCGGCTGGCTCGCCGCCCCCTCCCGCCCTTCTCCGCGCGGAGCCCCCGCAACTTTCCCTTCCGCCTCAGTTTCCCCTGGCGGGCGGCGGCGGGCGAGCGCGTGGCTGCGGTGCCGAGAGGGAGCTGCGAGCGGCGAGTGGGTGGGTGGGTGGGTGGGTGCGTGCGGAGGGAGGAGGAGAGGGCGGGCGGGAGAGGGTGTGGGCAGCGAGGGAGGGGGCGAGCCCGCTCTGCTGCCGCTCCCAGCCGGGCGGGGGGCGGGGAGGAGGCCGCGCGAGGGCGGGGAGGAGCGGGCCGAGGAAGACGCTCCGGCCGGCCGTGCGTCCCCGAGGCTCGGGCGCTCGCGCAGTTGTGCAGGCGCGCGCGAGCCCTCCGCGGCGGCGGCGGCGGCTGCGGCTCCGGCTGCGCCTTCCCGGTCCCCGGCTCCGGCGAGCGCGCGGGCGCGGAGCGTGTGCCTGGCAGGTGTGTCCGCCGTGACTCTGCCCGGGAGGTGGGACTTGGTGACTTGAACACCGTCGCCCCTCTCGGCCGCCTGGCCTCCCGCCGTCCGCGGCGACCTGAGAAGTCTCGGAGCCGCGGAGCGCGCCCCGCTCGCCCGCTCGCAGCCGGGCCCGCGGCCGGGGCGCCGCGCCGCCACCATGCCCGGCAGCCCGCGCCCCTAGGCGCTGCCCGGCTCGGCTCGCGATGCTCTCGCGCGCCGGAGGACCTCGCGGCTGAGCGCCCGGCGTTCCCGAGGCAGGGCCCCCTCCCCTCCCCCGCGTCTTTGTCTCGTCCCCCGCTCTCCCCGCTCCGCACCCCACCCCCTCTCCTCTCCGCCACCTCTGTTTTAGAAGCAGCCACCGGAGATGGATGTCTCGCTCTGCCCAGCCAAGTGCAGCTTCTGGCGGATGTTTCTGCTGGGCAGCGTCTGGCTGGACTACGTGGGCTCGGCGCTGGCCTGCCCGGCCAACTGCGTCTGCAGCCGGACGGAGATCAATTGCCGGCGGCCAGACGACGGGAGTCTCTTCCCGCTGCTGGAGGGGCAGGATTCGGGCAGCAGCAACGGCAACACCAGCGCCAACATCACCGACATCTCCAGGAACATCACCTCCATGTAAGCCGGTCGCTGCCCCCCACCCCGGCTGCCCGCCCCGGCCCCGCGCCCGCCCCGGCCCTGCGCCCGCCCCAGCTCGCCGCTGCCGGGGCGGGCGCGCGTCAGGCTCGCCCGGGCTCGGGAGATGCTGGGGCCGCGGCGTCTCCAGGTGGCTCGGGCCCTGGCGAGGCACGACCCGGGGTGCGCGCGTGCCTTGCCCCGGTGGGCACCCCCAGGGGCCCGGGTGTGCGGGGCGGGGGCCCAGCGCGCGCCCCCTCCAGCCGCATTCTCGGCCGGGGCTGCGACTGGTGTTCTCGGCCCCCGCGGCAGAGCAACAGTTTGGCCGCGCTCAAGTGGCATAAAGTGCCCGAGCTCGGCGCCCGGCTGGGAGGGGGACAGATGGGGATGGCTGCGACCTGTTCTCTCTCGAGACGGCCAGCTCGACCGCGAGGAGACAAGTTGGGAGCGGGCCGCGGAGGAGACCTCAGCGGTGTCCCAGCCGCCATGGGCACCCACCTCTGCCACCCGCCCGCCCCCGCCCTCGCCAGCCCCATTTTGGGCATTTCCCAGACGCCCGCCTTCGACGCTGCGGTCGCCTTCCTGCTGGGGCGCGGGTAACTGCCCCGGGTGGTTCCGAGTCCGGGGCTAGAGGGCAGGAGTGGGCGTGCGTCTGGAGAAGGGGCTTCTCCCGGGGAGCGCGCCGATGGTTGATTGCAACTTGAACTCTGGCATTTGTCGGGCTCTGCCCCGTCCGGGACCGAAGCCTGCTTTTATTATGCTGGGGGCACTGACAGCGCGGGGGGCCTGCAGCATCTGCCCACACTTCAGGTTGGACCACCCCTCCGGCCTACGTCCTTCCAGCCGCGGTGCCCTCAGGGGTTCCCGGAGACTCATGGCTGGGCGGAAGCCGGGGATCCTGCCTCAGCAGTGGCGTTGGTTGTTCTTGGTCCCAGCGGCATGGCCGAGGAGCCGGCAGGGATGCAGTGCCTCCAGCCCTCCTGGCTTCATGGAGACCCTGCTGGCCTGTGCTGGGAGTCGGGCAGGAGTGGAGAGGTGGGGAGGTGTCCCTGGCTGCCGGCAGGGAACACGAGCTTGACCCGAGTCTCAGCTCAGGTGGGACGCAAGGGGAGTCAGGAGAGCAGCGACACAGCCAGCTCAGCCCTGCTTCTCCCTGCAGACCACAGTGGCCGGGTCACCCGGGATGTGGGAAGGAGCACCTGAGTGAGGCGTTCAGACTGGGACAGGGCCTGTATGGGGGCTGCAGGCTGGGCAGGGGGTCCTGGGGGTGGGAGGGGAGGCCTGGTGCCTTATCCTTCCCTCTGCTCCGGGACTGCGTGCCTTGAGACAGGCCAGGGAAGCCGGGCACCCCAGCCAGTCACACAGCTGTTCCTGGCCACCCAGAGGTGTCACCGCCCTGAAGGTGATGGTTAGGGCTGGGTGGGGGGAGTGGGTCCCTTTCACAGGCCACAGTGATGTTGGTGTCAGGGGGAGCCAAGGTGGGTTGGTCTGGTGGCCCTGTTTTGTTCTGGGGACTGTGCTCGGTTAAGCTGGGGGCTGTTGTCCCGCAGTCCTCTTGGGCCAGGGCGGTTCCCATCAGAGCTGTGCGTGCTGTGGGTGTGGGTCAGAGGTGGAGATCGGATGACCCCTCCTGGGTCTTCTTCTCCCCTGGGCCCTGTTATTGCTAGGCTGGTATTGACGGGATGGAGGGAGCCAGGGACAGGGGGTCGTACTCACTGTGTCACCCTGAGGATTAGTGACTTGGCTGGGCACAAGGCCCTAGTGGGGCCACCCCCACTCTGTGGGGGCTGGAAAGAGGGGCGCCCAGGCAGTGGAGGAACCTTGCTTTTGCTAGAAATATCTGGTGCTGGCGTGGGGGCAGCAGGGACTGGACCTGTATACCTTGTCGCCCCTGGCTGGTCCTCCGTCCACTTTGTGGTTGCCCCAAGCTGAACCTTCCAAGGCAGTCAGCTGTTCTGGGGAACAGCCTGGCCAGGACCACCACCCCCTTCCCTGCCTGCCTGCCTGGTTGCCAGTATCAGGAAGAAGCCAGCTGTCAGGAGCCGGGCCGAGCTATGGCCTCACCTGGCCCTGCTGGAGCCTGGCCCTTGGCCTCCTCCTGCTCCAGGCCTAGCGGTGGCCGCACCCAGCAGGGTCTATGGCAGCCACACCCAGGCAGGCTGTGACGTCACAAAGCGGGCAGCTGTGGCTGCGGGGGGCTGTGAGCTCTGTGGAAGGCCAGTGGGGCTGAGGGGGCATCTCGGGCCAGGTGCTCCTGCGGCTGGCAGCCTGGGCTCATGGCACCCATGGACTTCTGAGTGGGTTACACCCTGAGCTCCCGGGCGCTGGAGTCCAGTGACTTCTGGACGCTTTGTTTTCCTGTTCTGACAGCTTCTGGGGTCTGTGGAGACTGGGTTGCCTCCCTGCTTCTCACGCTAACCCTTAAGCTTTGGCCTCTCCCAAGGAGAGTCAGCATCCCACAGGCTGTGAACTCCCGGATCCTGGGGCGCCAGGGTCGGAGCTGGGTTGAGGGGTGGAGACAGATGTGGCAGAAGCTTCCAGGTGGCCTCCCTGAGCGTGGCAGGCCAATAGAAGTTGGGGGGGTCAGTCCTGACCGGGAGCTGCCTGGTGTGGCTCCAAGGCCCCTCAGAGGCTGTAACCACTTCCCCCGCCCCTGCACTGGGGCTGAGGTGAAGGTGCAGGGCAGGGGCAGGGCCTGGGACTGCTCCCCTGTGTGCCCTGCCCGACTGCTGCCTCCTGCTTAGCTCTGGCTTTCCGCAGGGCCTGGCTGGCCGTGGTCCTCCCTGGGGACAGCCCTGGTGTCTCTATTGCGCTTTGGAGTGGCTTCAACAGGGTCTCAGCCTGAGTCCAGCCCTGCGCGGGGCCTGCTGTGGGAAGGCCCTCAGCCTGGGAGCCATGATGGAGACTGCGGCCTTTCTGAGCCCTGGACTTCAGCTGTGGATTGAAGCGACAGGGCGGAGGCCTCTTCCTGCTGGGCCAAGGTCGGGCACATTGGGCACCTCCTTTGTGGTGTCAAGGACCCCTGCTGTTGTGGGAAGAGCCCAGGGTGCCCCGTGAGCCATGGCCTGCAGCCCATGGCCACTTCTCTTCCCTTCCCACCTCTGGAGAATGTGGGCCCTGTGGCTTGGTGTGGAGTCCACTGCCAGCTCAGATGCTTTTCTCAGCACGGTCGTGTGGGGGGCCCTGGCTGATCTTGGAGACACGCGGCCCACACCATGTTGTGGCTATGGCTCCCGGCCTGGGCTGGGTGGGGGAGGCCTTGGGAATGCTTGGTTCTGTACTGGGCCAGGGCTGGGGTCCAGCGTGCAGAGCCTGGGGGGTGGGCAGTTCCTGTTGGGTGCATGCATGGGGCAGATGCGCACGGAACTCTGGACGTGAGCGAGGGGCCACAGCCCTGGGTAGTGTGCCCCATGAGCACATGGGCAGTAGATCGGGGGTGCTGGTGCATCAACCTCCTTTATGCTGTTGCAAAGGGGCCCAATCTGTGGGCCTGGGTCAGGTTGGCCAGGGGCATTGGTCCCCATCAGGGCCTGCCAGGGGCTTGTCCTCTGTGGACACCAGAGACAGGGGCCCTACACACACTTCCCTCCTGTTATCCCTGGGTCGCAGACCTCAGCTGGGGTCCCGGGCACTCCTGGTGGCTGGCCGCCTGCTGCCTGCCCTGGCATTTGCTCTGAGGCCATGTTGGAGACTGAGTCGCCCTCTGCCGTGCCTCCCCAGGGCAATTTCCAAATGCGGGGTCCCCAGAGGCAACAAGAATGTGAGCTGGCAGCCCTAACTGCCTGCAGCCTGCAACCCAGCCAGCAAGGAAGCAGCCTAGGAGGGCCCTCTGCCAGCCCTATTCCCCCTGGGCTGGGGGATTGGCTGGCAGGCTTGAAGGGGCTCTGTCCTGGCCTCAGCCCCTCCCTCATCCCCCAGACCTGCAGAGAGGCCATTGGACCTAGGTGCTAGTGAGTTGCCATTTCCTGTGCCTGGGAGGGGTGCTGCCGTCCCCTGGGCCGTGGCATCTTTGTCTTGGACGACTGCCTCAAGGCAGCCAAAGTTGGGGCTTGGGCATGGCCTACACATGCCAGCACCTGGCTGTGGGCATGGCCTGAACGTAGGTCCTTGCATGCGGATGACCACAGCCCTGTGGGACAAGCGGCTTTACCGACAGTGGAGTGGGGTCCTGTGTACTAATTTGCTTAGCACCACGGTCACTGGCACCTGTGCTGGGAGCTGCGGGGCCTCCCTGTGTAACTGGTACCTGTGGGTATGCATGCGCACACACACGATAAAGTTGCTACTGCAGTCAGTTGGCATGGTAGAAGGCCCAGGGGTTTTTGTTTTGCAGCCCTCCAGTCCTTGAAGAAAGGCAGGTGGCACCTATAGCATGGGCTGGCCAGCAGTGCCGGGAGCACTACCCAGTTGGTCCTCGTGGTGGGAGCACCACCCCTTGGCCCATTCCCAACAGCTTCTTGAAGGCAGTGTCCCAGCTGAGGCCTCCTTCCATCCCTCCCTGACTGTCCCGTGTTATCTTGGCGTGTGAGGACACAGTAGATGGTGGCTGGGTTGCAACAGCTTCTGTCTGGATCGAGGTGTGGCCAGCAGGACAGTGGCCTCTCGGCTGCTGGCTAGAGAGAGCCCGGATGGGGAGCAGGGTGCTGGGTGGCTTCTCCTGGCTTGAGCCTGTGGCTGCAGAGCAAAGGGGGAGTCTGCTAGATGGGTGTTCTGTGTCTAGTCTGTCTTGCAGGCTTTGCCCTCCCTTCTACCCTGTCCCACCCCCCACCCTCGCCCCCAGTGTCGGTGGTGGTCGAGAGGCTGTGGGTAGAGGGTTGTTGTGTCCCTGGCCTCTTGGGCCTGGGTAGCCACTTTGGGGATCCTCTCTCTCCAGCCTGATGCTATGGCATGGGTGACTGTCGGGTCTGCATGACTAGGAGGCTGTGAGGGGATGAAGCTCCCGACTTAGGGTATCAGTATGCAAGTCTGAGAAGGAAGGGCTCAGATGTAGCTGGGCCGGACCC